TCTAACGCTGCGTAGCCGCAGATAATGCTGCATTATTGATTTTGGAGTGTAGTCGATCAGCTCCAGTGGATCATCATTAGCAGTTAATTTTTCTTTCCACTAACTTGAGTCAATGACGAAAAAAACGGGTTTCAAAGGGCGGACCAAGGTTAAATGTTACTGGACGCACGAAGTAACTACAGTTTTGCCGCAGATGAAATGTTCAAATCACGCTGAATTTCCAAACAGAATGCTGCGCCACTTAGGATAAACAATGCTTTTACTGCGACGCAATGGCGGCGGAACCACGAGGTATAAGCAGCGCAGTAAAAAGAGCACGCATTCCTAAGATAACTAATCGATAGTAATCGGAAATTCTGTAATGATCCAACCTAGGCTCGCTCAGAGATCGGTAGAATTGTGACCGGTCGCAATAAGCGGCTATATGGTGTGCGCAGCGAGCACAAATGCTGCAAGCCGAGCTAAGCCCAACTGACAGAAACTGTTATGGCAGAACTGAGGAATGATCGATGACTTGCCAGTAACATGGTGCCGAAGTGTGGCGGAAAGTGCACTCGCATTTGGGTGAACCACAAAAAACGCTAAGCGCGCTGGTAAATTATCGTCATGAAGCACTGTTCCTGATGACCGCTTACAACCGGGTAGCGAAGAAAAAGTTGGAGAAGCTTAAGATGAAAAAAACGGTAGGTGTGTGTACTTCTAACAGCGGAAGGGGTAGAAAAGAATGGGTTAGCATATTTGGCGGATAACAGTTCCCGTTTGACACAAAGGCCTTGTCAGACCAAGCGAAAAAATAACCGATGGTTAGTATAGCATTTACAGCAAACTGAGAGGATAATCCCAACGATCGAAAAGTGAGTAGGAGGGTAATAGCGTCTCAGGATAGTGCCATTTCAAGTGGTCGATTAAATTTGGAAAGAGTAAAAGCGATCATGTTAGCCCTGCTTACCGTGACCGTATGGGTCAAAAACAAAACCGCCCACCAGATATAATTACCAAATGTTTTCAAGCTCGTCTAAAATCATGGGTTACTAGTCGGTTGAACGCGTAGCTTATTGAGAATTCAGACACGCTGCCATCTTCAGTGCATCGAAATTGGATTACAAGGCAAAATAGTTAACTACCAACCCGGAAAAGCACCAGACAAAATCGAAAATTAGCCCTGCCGATCTTCAAAAATGCTGTGTAGATTCACGGCTATTGGTAATGGAAGTCCTGACACCTGTGGGCCAGCCACTGTCCTCTGCACAGGCAACACTCTGCATGACAATGGGAGATGGGTCGGGCTATATTGCAGTAAGATTTCAATCCAAAATCATCCACCAGGGCCCAATGTCATAAGCTGCTGGCCAGTGGTGCAAGCCACTAGCGGTCATACGTGTAGTTGCCTGAAGGAGACCGAAGGAATGTGCACCACCGACAAGCCCCAATGGGGCAAAACGATCGTCCAGTGTTTTATCAGATTGGTAGCTGATCTTTCTGGCTTGTAACCTACTTGTGACGAACTAAACAACTCTCAAAGTGTAGGACAGTGTATTGCGCTTATAAACATCGAACACTAGATTAGAAGTGGAAAATCGTATTCTCCGTTTAAAATGGAGGGCCCAAATTGCCATTTCCTCCGCCAAAAATGCGTATGACTTGAGTAAACCAGTGTACTTATAAGGCCAAACATTCTTCCATTACGAAAACAGAGGCCGGACTGAAGATGTTGGGTTGCTCTTCAAGCTGGGTAATTTGTCTGCGGAGACCTCACCACTAACCCAGGCGACATAGTCAGCGCATCTTCTGGAAGTTGTAATGTAGTTACCTAGTCTTGTGACGAAGAGTCGGAAAACAGAAAGCCAAGCTCGGGAATTAACGTGACCTGACTCACACTCCAAATCAAGAATATTCCGAATAACTCGAAAAACTGGATTCGCTGTATGACCAAGGTCAGGATCCGTATGGAGGGTGAAATCCCATCATGGAACATACATGAGACCACAAACGTCGACCATAAGCTAGAGGCAATGTAACTCACCCGAAAAACCTATAATTGTACCAAGCAAAATGGCCGAGAAAGTTCCGTTGCATTCATGCACAATGCATGCAACTAACTTCTGATTGACCGCTGAGTGGAGGCGGGATATGACTGATCGAGTGCAACCTGGCAGAAGTGATACAACGATGAAAACAGGATAGGGGCTAACAGTGCCTCACCAGTATCATGAACTGATAATTGGATGACATGTAACCGCAAGCGATCGTATGCGGGCTGAGATACTGCAGCGGAGGTGGAAACAGGGGCTTGAACCCAAGTGCAGATGATCAGATGCCTGAGTCGCTACTCCACAGTGATGGTGCGAGTAAAACAGACAAAACGCATGGGGGTGACGATAAGAGAATCGGCATTCGTATCGTGGTAAGGGGAGATTGCCCTCCTGACGAAATTCCAGCTGTGACCTTGAAGACCCATCAATGCTAGCTAGTCACAAAGTAATACAAAATTACATGGCAAAGTACACACTAGGAGTACACAAGGCGCCCCACTGTAAGATGGGCCCAGGGCTGAGTGTTATAAAACCGTGCAACTCAATTCCAATAGTAACGGGTAGTGGAGCGATTCAGTTCAGTCTGCTGCCATGATGAGGTCACGAGGCTAACGTAAAAAACAAGAGGAAAAAGGGGAATATAAAAACGACAATTCAACGAGAAAGCAACCTTAAAGTTACAAACTACGAAGTATTGGGGAAGGATAGGAGCACAGAGTGGATGCAGGGATAGCGCTTGGTTCGCCATCGTCCCACAGCAAAAAGATCGAGTCACTACTACTGCCGATCCCGTGAATCCTAAGCGTCAGATTGACCAAGATTTTCGATCAACGACTCATGTCCGAAGGCCGTTGAACACATTGATGCCTCACCTAAACAAGTACAGTAATGGGTAGACCATATGCGTCGAAGTGCACGATCGACATGAAGGTGAGATGGGTAGAGTAGACTGCTCAAAAGATGATTTAACGTGGCCTGCTGCCAAACGTTGAGTGGTGGACGCAAATAAACTCATAAGGTATCCTCGTCACATATGAGAAACACTTCTCAAGTGTCTCCGGTCCATTACGATAATGCGGTTAGTTTTATTGGCAATAGCCGCAGTGCCACCCTATACCCCCAATCTATAAGCACAGACTACGGAACTGACTAGCTCGTTCCTGCAGGGACTTTGATGAACCCATAGCATACCAACCAGCATCCAACAGAGGCTGGCGGCTGTATGGCAGCGAAATATATGCAAGGAGCACTGCCGATGCCGTAGTCCCACTTTACCTTTGGTGTTGATTGTTTCAACTCATAAAATCTGCTCATGCTTAAATAAGAAGCAAAGAGATCCATTTTACGATGCACCTTCAATAGGCAGTTTCTACTTGATGATATCTTCTACAGACAAATTGATGGTGATGAAATTCCCCTAGGACCGATTCTAACTGTTCTTCTGGCGAAATTGGAACGTGGACACTAACAGTCGATGAACTCGCCGCTTGATTCGTACATGGATGATACAATTTTTATTTGTGATTGGAACAGACATTCCCTGTCTATTATCTCAATTCAACGGTGTATATAGGTCATTGCATCTCAACAGTGCGATCGAAACTGAGGGAAAACTGACCTTTTTAGACGTTTTGCTGAAGCGACGGAACGATGGCTCCCTAGAGAGAAACGTTTTCCAGAAACCTGAGTTAGCCAATACACACTTTTTAAGCGTTGTACCTCAGCAGCACAAACGAAACTTAGTTCGTTGCTTGCATTACCGTGCGGCCAGAATCTGCAGTCCGAAGACGATAGAAGAGGAAAAAGTGCATCTTCAGAGTGCTGCAAGAGAAGGGACACCCCGTTCCGCCTAATAAAGCATGCAACAATCTGTGTGCCTGAAAACCGTCAAGACCGTACCAAAAGACGTTACTTTTAGTTCCATTCAAAGGGCATGCCGCTCTTGACTTACTAAAGAGAAGACTCTCAGTCGCAATGGCCAAAAGTACCCAGCCGCCTACCCGCGTGTACTTACGCAGACTGTATCCTTTGTGTTACACAACGTCGCAAGGACAGACTCCCGGTGCAGTTCAAAGCATACAGTCCGTAGCAATTTACTAGCAACTATGGTGCAAGATATCTCGGACAAACGACCATGTGTTTGTCAAGACGGAGAGCAGAACACTTCCCAGGATTTATACGAAAAGGCACGGCAAGAAGCATGAAGAGCGCAATCATGGAGCATTTGCTTCCAAGCGCGCAAGAAATCCGAATAGCAGATGCGTTCAAGGTTTTCTGCTTCGTGCGTCTGTTGAAGACGACCGAAAAAATCGCTAGTACACTGACCCAGCCCGAAATGTGCAAACAGAAGGTTCTAGTACAAGTTACAACACATCGACCTCGGACACTGACAGCGTAACGTAGGCTGCAAGGTCTGTCCCCAGTGAATCGAACTAATTATTGGTCTCGTTCAAACAGCGGCAACCTTCGACCCAGTTTTTATTAGCATACTGTGTTATCTGTTTTTTTGTTACAATTGTAATGGCTTGAGGAGAATTATCGAAAAGATATGTCTTCGCTAATGGATTGTTTCACCTATGGGTAATTAAGGCTCTGATTGTAGATGTCATAACAATCTAAGGTGGGAATCTTGAGTTATCGATGATCGTGAACTCAGGACGCAGCGTCGCTTTATCGACTTTCGATCGTCATCAATGGGGCCGGGAAGTTGCGCAGATTAGATAATAAAGGTTCCGAACTCTAAAGTAGAAAACGAATACTGAAACATATGTGAGCCCATGAAGAAGGGAATAGGTACTGCAAAACGCCAAAAATCACGCGCTCAAGGACTTAACGAAACTAAGATTAGTATACAGAGGTAAGAGCACATGCTGTTGCGAACGACTGTCGAAACCGGGGTTTGGATCAAACTTATACAGGCGAATTTAACTGTACAAAAACAGAAAGTTTACATCGTTAGGTGCCCTAGAACACAACGGAATGCCCAATTGAAAGGATAAAGTTGTATGCAAGCGCAGAGTAACGTAAGTCGCGAAAGGACAACGATCTGCAGCAGCACACCAAAGTCCAGCCCAATCCAACAGCCAGTCCAACCTGGTCTCCAATGGGTCAATTCGTGACGAGTGATTCATCGTCGCTCAACTTGTCAGAAATGCTGTCTCGAAAAGCATTACGGGCAATCACTTCACTGTTGATCAAGCTGTAAGTATCCGCAGTCACGTCTTCGCCGCGGACATGCAGTCGAATCAGAGTTTCCATAGCCTGCGGTGCAAAGCAAGAGATAAGGGTGTGTTAGCAACAATTTGGCGGAACCGAGTAAAACATGGGTTGCATTTTTAGCGCTCGTGTTCCCTCAACCGAAGCGGCCAATTAATAAATCAGTTTGGCAAAGCAGTGCACAGATTGCAAAACACCGCACAACTAATGCAGTGCACAAGTGTAGCGCCTCAGTGTATGCGAACAGAAAGTATCTACACAGGCGATTCCAGCCGCATAGAACGAGAAGCAGATGGCGAGATCTCCCAAGACATTCGAAAACCACCAATTGAATAAACGACGTGGATGTGCTTTGGAAGGAATACAAAGATTGGAAGTAACAAACACCTGAACTCGAAGAAACATATTGTTCAGGTGAGGAGTACTAGTGTATGCGCAGAATCGAATTCAATAGAGGCGTGATATGAAGAATACGACTAGGCGGACTTTTAATAAAGTTATGGGGAACAGGGAAGTGATTACTGTTGTCCCCTGAGTGAACGCGCATAGGGAAGTAAGAATTCAAACTTTGGAAAGTGACGAGGGTTGCATCCTCAGGACGCTAAAGAATAATAGTTCTCTCGCTCCGTTCATTCGGAGGCACACTGTGATCCGTGACCGACGAGAAACAACTGTGACGGTGCCGAAAAAGGATGGCTATCTTTCGGTTCCTTTTAAAGATGTCGCCATCGAATTAATGAACAGGAGACTCCTAAATGCAATAGCCAAGGCGTTCCCTGCTGCCCGCCTACATGTCATTGCAGAAACTGCCACGTTTATTATCCAACGTCTTAAGGATCGACTCCGGGTCATGACCGAATCTTTTATCCTATATCAATTTACTTGCACCTGTTGTGCAAGATACATCGGACACACGAGCAGATGCTTGGCCAGACGGATAGCAGCATTATGGAAACGAACAGTCGAATATATGAACAGCTCTATATTGGAACATTTAATCCAGAGCATCAAATTGTGACCTCGGAAGCTTAGGTTCTTACGCTGCACCAAAACGCTAACCAAAAGGGATTAAAAAGCGCCTTTTAATGACAGTCGAGGCCATTGCAATCACGGAGCTGTGTAAACAGGACTCTCAATTCGTTGCATCGTTCCCCCAAGTGTTCGCATCGATCACGCTTGAGGCTACATCGCGTGCATCATGTGACACGTTGCATGTGTGCCTCGTATGAGCCATAATGACGTTAGTAACAGTGTAGTCAGTGGCAAGGCGATCACGTGATCTCACGTCGCTCATACGTGGCTCATGCGAAAGTGCACGTGCGACGTGTCACGTGACGCAGGCGACGCAGCTTCAGAGGTCATCGATGCAAACCTTTGGGGAAACGATGCAACGAATTGTACAGTGTGGACGCTACATTTGCTCTGGTCCTTTTGAGCACCGCTTAATCATCCTAGACGGTGATCCCGTAACCCATGTGCGTTAGTATCTTCATCGACTGCTTAGCTATCAGTCTATCGCAATGTAAACCTCATTTATACATGTATTAGCCTGAATTATCGAAAATTTCTTCGCGCATACATGAGAGCCCTTGACTGGGTCTTCTTGTCATCTCCAAGGGTTAGATGGTGGTATGGAAGCCTGTCCGTTCTATTCTCTAGTGTCTTGTACCCTTGTTCATGTCATTTTCTGGACCGTGAGCACCTCTGTAAAATGATGTCGTTATCCAGAACGAAAGAATAGCTTTTTAACCAAAGCTGACAAAAAAACCAGCCGTCCCATACAATTGGATGATAGGTTAGATGGGGATAACCAATAGGGCAGTGTCGTGAATAGCTTGTGAAAGAAAGAGCGGCTTGCTCAAAGTCAGTCAGCATGGAATTCGTAGCCTGTTCTTTTTTGCATCGACATATGTATATCTCACTACTTATACAACCTAGGTTTTATCATGATACACGAGACCGGCATTATGTGGGGAAGTTCTAGGTCGAGCGAATAAATGTCAAAGGTGGATGGTCTTATAAATCACGGACTTCTGTTTGAAGTGGAGGACCACTTAAGGTTTGCTGTCAGCGGGACGAGAAAAACGGTGCGTAGTTAGCCATTCACGAGACCAGACATTCGACCGCAAATTCGGTTTGCAGTTGCGAGGAGCCTGACGTTGTGTTATTGGGGGGGGTGATTAAGATACCTACGAAATATAACCACTAATAGCTTACTTCGTACTTTGGATACAAAACGCACACATCAAAGCAAGCAACTCTTTGTCACGTTATTCAACTGAGCTTGTGTACTTATTGTGCCCAAACAAAAGGGACCAATATCCTCGGATGTTCAGGATTGGGTAAAGCGTAGAACTGCAACACTTCAGAAGCAGCCAAAGCAAATGTCATTATGCTTAATAAACTAAGGGTGAAAACAGGGAGATGGTGTGGTCCTGCAATGCTGCACTCGTTGTTATGAGCCCAGGAAAGAGGTCTTGGTAGACGCGTACACGGACTCGGGGGTCACCAAATGGAGATCCCGGGATAGAAGTCAATATTTCTGTCACCATTTGTAAGGATACGCAGTGTCAGTGGTCTGCTGATTCGAAGACCACTTATCAAGCAGAGGAACATCGCCGTGATCAGCCGTCTGGATGTGCCATTTTTCCGGCAACTAGCCTAACGTGGCTATAATATCAGGAGTCAAACTACTTGGGTAGAAGCAATTCTGTCAAACGTTCTTGTGTAACTAAGGACAGATGCGGAACGATGCCCACGAGAAATACGAACGCCATTTCGGTAGGGTCATAAAAGCAATCGCGATCTCTACCATCGTGGTCCCAGAACATCCCAATGATCGTTGTGAACTCAGTGATAGCTGACGCTTCACCCCGACTTGATAGCGCTGTTATGCGAATTGACATTTCAGTTGATGAGTGGGCGACCTCGAGGTTGACAGCTTCACAGGGGTAGGGAAAATGGACATTCTGAGGGTGCGAACTATGGGCGACTATGCATTGGTGTTTCAGGTCGACTGAAAAGCATGCACATCACCTACAGCCGAAGTGAATACGGTAAGGCTAGGTTCAAGGTGGTGTATAATTCGGTGGGCGGCACATGACGTGAATGCTTGTGCTGAAAAGCAGTGCTAACAATTTGTCAGTTACAGTGAGCATGCAATTGTAGATACCGATAGCTGTTACACCAGTTCAGCAGACATCGACTCCGAAGCAGCTAACTGTTGTTTGCGTCTAATCTGCGGTCCACTTGAGTATTCATCTCACCCACAGTGATTACAGTCTCTGCTTTCCTAGTCATAAGGAGGGGGGAGGATTCGAATTCACTTGTGATACCCTCTGGAGCTGCAGTATATGAAAGGCAGTCTCAGAAACAAAATAGAAAACAGCACTGCGTCTCCAAATAATGTTGAGTAACTCTCGTGGAGGCCCATTCAAGAAAGTAGTGTTGTTTTTACGGAGTGCAGTCACTGACCAGGTATCACACAATGTGCGAGGTCATCAATCAGATGTACGCAATTAGTCCCTGGGTGTAGTGCAGAGATGTAGCGTCAGTGATGACTTGGCTGATTCGGTGTAGGCAATGAGAGTGGAGACTCGTAATCTGACAAAAGATTCAAGTTCAGAATTAGCAGAAGCTGCAAAATTGCAGCCAATTTCGTGGTGATCGTCATGATAGGGGTAAAAGTGTGACGCTGGCGAGCATGCACTATCTTATTCTTCGGGATCCGTCCAATTCGAGGTGATAAAACAGGGACAAAATGAGCTCGTTAGCTGTATCGCACCACTGTAACGGACATTTCGCTCGCTTAGTCGTCTTACAGCCTCTCTTGCTACCTGGATCGGAACTGCATGCCTTCTCTAACGTCTTTAGTGGCAAAGATTCTTTCAGCTGCCAACCACCACCGCCAGATTAGCAAGTTTGCTCTATCTCACCCTTTGATCATACTGCTCTTGTTTGGTTCTTTGTTCGCAATTTGCTGTCCTTTATCACACTCATAATCAATTCGTACTTACATTGCACTTATGTTCGTTCACCTTGTTTTCTACCTTGTGTTTTCCACCCGCTACTTAAACGTCTTATCGATCCTCTCTTTCTAAGCTGATGAACTTTGATTGACCCCTGTCCAGCCCTTCTGTATGGCCTGTGTATTTGTTCTCATTTACTTGTTTGTTTCTCATTTGTTGTTTGTTTGTTCTCATTTGTTCCTTTGCCGTCCTATCCGTTTTACACTACATTACTAGATTCCATTTTGCGGCAAGCTACACTGTTCTTACCACAGATTGTTAGGGTGTTTTTAGTCTGGGAATCGTTAAGGTATGACTTTTTTGGCGTTTCTATTTTGTGCAAATAACCACGTGGATCATTATCAGGCTTTGGTTTGTTGAACTCCCGTTATCTGCGCAATGTTTGTCCTTTCAGGCGACTGCACGCTTACAACCATAGCTACTTAAAGTAAAAAGGGTCACAGACCACCTTACAAAATCCCAAAAATGGTAAGACTTTGTCTGTCTTCCAACCATCAATCCGTCCGATAGAAATGAGTGTGAAAGTACTTAGATAGTGACACCAAATGTGACCCAGTGAATCGCAGAGGTACACAAGTCAACACATCATACAGAAGTCGTCTCTGTGAGACACGTGTAGTTTGTCGAAGAGCCTGTCGTACAACGCCGCAGTGCAGCCAGTTCAGGATAGAGAGGTTGGTGACGAATAACTTCTAATGCATGATGAGTTCCGATTTAAAAATATGTTACTTAAATGTGAAGATAGCTGATAAGAATGATCATATGCAAATGTGACGAAGTTCCTGAAACATACCTGCCTAACTGCCTCCATCCGAGTCTGCTCTTGCTTAAACAGCTTTGTGAGATAATTGTATCGCGCAATTTCCTCCTCAATATCCTGCGCTTTGTTTTTGCTTCGATTACGGAAACGCTGTACAGCCGCGTTATTACGATAACGCCTGTTGGTATAGCATGATGTGGATTTGACGGCGGGATCAGCGAGCGTGTACGATCGCCGTCTGGTTGGCGAAATGGAGTCAGATCCACGAGAAGAGTTTGTAGATTCGGACTGAGAGAGGGGACTGCTAAAACCTACAAAAAATATAGACAGATAAAAGTCGAAACTCAATCAGTTAAGGAAAGGTTTGAATGGAATAAAATACTAGATCAGAATTCGAGCAGTCCTGGAGATTTGGAACGCGCAGAGATAATAAAACGATGCACCAAGCATAATCAAACATAGTGGGTGCCATCGGTAAGTATGGCTATAGTAAATACCTTGCGTAAACAGAGGAGAACTGGGAACGGAAGGGAAATGGATGAGTTTTCAATAAACGATGATAATAAAGAACATGCGGCCACATCTAAAATCGAGTCAGAGGGGGTTTACCGCAATCTGAAAAGCGGCGTGTCTGTACGTCTGGCGCTATCTTAGTTCCCAGTGTAGTCCGAATGTACGACTAATGAGCCTTATGCCTAATGCCTTCGTCTGATCTCACCTCTCCGAGCACTACAAGGATGCACCGGATTAATTTAGAGAGAATCCCAACAATGTCAACGCCTCGGTTAGTCGCACACGACACCCTCTAGTGTGCGCTGAAGACGATGGTGAATGTCAATAATCGCCAATGTTAGATAAATCAGTAAAATCAACATAAACGAGGCAATGTGGTCTCTGGGAAGATTCGTCGAAGCTAGGCGAAACCAAACAGCCACCACACATAGAAAAAGGGCCGTTTCATCTCGCTTGCGCACCCACCGGATTCGAGCAGGATAAAAACCCCTACTACTCACTGATAATCAGTAATCGCTTTAGCGGCCTGAAAAGGTAGTCGTAGCTCGGGAAGCTAGCGCTGTCCTCTGCACATTCATAACATGCATGACAGTGGAGGATAAGCGACGCTACATCGCAGTTAGATATCATTCATGGCTAAAGGCCCTAGTTTTCTGTGATAACAAAACACTTTCGTGATCAAGACCAAAAATTTCGCGGAATTTATGTAGTGCTAAGATAAAATTCCGTGCTTTCCCCGGAAAGTCTAAAATAAACATAAATCGGGGCACTTCATCTACTATATACATGTCAGTTATGATTCAAAACAGAGGAATCAAAATAAAGCCTAACAGGGTGCTTCGTGTTATCATCCGTCAGACACAATATGTTTGTAGGCACAAAAGCTCGATTCAGCGTCGACCGAGTTCACAGGAATACATAGATAACGGCCAGCAACGTCTGCCAGTTGTGGGGTGCTTTCATGCACCTTGCACAGGTACGTCAGCGCGTCTCCATGCAGTTCTTCCAACATTTTCCGATAGAATAGGCATTCGGCTACCAGAGCTGGAGAATCAACCAGGCCTGGAACGTCGGCATAGCTGCATAGGTCACTGAGTAAGGTGATGCGTTGGTTAGGGTCGAGCACTCTAATGACTTTCAGAAACTGCCATCTAGCATCCGATGTCAGGAACTCCTTGGCTTTTTAGCATCTCTACAAAATCGAAGAAGCATGTCAGTTTGGATTTTGATAGACGCATCAAAGGTCAGTCGCTTTGCCTGCAAATGCTGCACCCAGTTTTCCGCAGCTGCAGTTCCCAGTGACATGGATAGATCGGATAGGTTATCGTAAATCTTATGGGTTACCGGAGATTGTAATTCAAAGGTTTTCAAGTGACGAATGACGTTCTTGCCAACATCCGAAATGCAACTCAGTTGGCACATTAAAGCTTTCTGTGTTGTTTCGTTGGTTAGAATATACAAAAGTTCACAAACACCAGCTCAGTCCCCAAACTCACGTTATACAGCTAGCAACATGGCTGGGTAATAATGGGAAGTCACTGTGTTGTGTGACAGAGGATGATGACCGATGCAGGTGGGCCAGTCGGGTTATCTACGGTTTCCTGAGTTAGATATTCAGTGCAGACACGTCACTTTCTTCCCGAAAGATGAAAAGAACTTTCATGTTCACAACGAATCCGTCAACTTCAGGAAGATTTGTGAAGGGTGTTTCCAATCAAATTGATGTAATGAGCAGCACATCTAATGTGAACTGCATCCTTACAAACAGGCTTAATGACATCCCGGTAACAAGCTATAATATATCTTGCACCATCGGACACGAAAGCCGTCACACGACTGAAGTCCATACCCATCATTCGTAAGATGAGTAGAATTAGCTTTTTCCAAATTGATCGAGTCAATGAGGTGTGCTTGCAGATAGTCCTTGCTGGACTTCAATGATGAGCATAACAGGATGTGTAATTTCACCTTCCTGCGATCACCAGTTGTTTCGTCTGTTACGACACTGACAAAGGTATCAAGGAACATCTCTTACAATATCTGTTTGTGTTCTCCGTAGAGCTGATGAATTTTCAGACGTACCGCGTTAGATCTGGCAATGCTTTCACCATTTCGCACGCGTCTGAGTAAATTCCATCAACCATGGATTGTCGGTCTATAGGAATATTCGCAGATACCATAGCAAGTAGAAAAGCAGATACTACTGTGTCGCGGGCTTTCATGGCAACATTTGCAACAGCGATGGAATTAACGATTCTTGTTTATCGGGCTTTCTTCTGAGCTAGCTGCGCCTTGGCAAAATGTGTAACTGCGTTCTCTTCCTTATGAGCTTGCTGCTGAAGGTGCTTCTGGCTGCGAATATGGTTAACCACGGTTGCTTTTCGAGATGGATCCACAGTCACATCAAGCAAAGAACAAAACAGTAATTTCTGAAATAAAATAAATAAATGGTATATTCCTCGGTGGTGTGAGGCACAGTCCAACTGCGTGGTTTGACCCGCATTATCCGTATTATGGACGCAGTATTAGCAAGGAAACTCCACTCTGTCCAGGGTAGTTTTCCCTCCTAAATTCTGTTTCATTTTTTAGATGACATCCGCGAAAGTCAAAAGCCGTTGATTAGATTGATTATAACAAAAATGAATTCAAAACAGCTTTCTTTATGAAGTTCTTGCTTTCGCTGTGATTCAGTGAAATGTATAAATTCCGCGTTTTTTGCGTCTGTGTGGAATCGCGGTACGCCACCGTCCCACGTGGCTCAGTGGCATAAGTCAATGACTTGTAAGATAAACGTCATGGGTTCGAATCCGGTGAGTACGCGCTACTGACGAGTCCCAATAGGCTGAAACAGCCATCTGGCATTTTCCTGGATGTGTGAGGCTATCTGGCTGAGTTTGGCTGCGACGAAACTTCTCAAAAACACCATAAATCCCTATTACTCGTTAATAAGAGGCACCAAGGAGCTTTAGCAAGAATGGACAGTGGTTATCGGCACCAGTTTAAACCGGATCACTTCAACAGCAGGAGACAGCGTGCCAACCTCTCAGAAGATCCAAAAAACGCAGACAGTAAAAGAGGCCTACCGAATCCCGGTTCGAAAGCTACCAGGAGGTAACTGGACCTTAACATGGTGCGGTTGTTTGTGTGTATAATCAATACGTTGTGTTACGTTGGATGGTGTCTCATGCGCCTTCCTCCACACATACCAGAGAGATTAATGGTTAGAGGCTAGAAAAAATAAGTCTCCTGGTTGGTGATAGGAGTGACCGTGGTTAATTATTCCTTAAAACTGATTTGTTGTAGCTTACAGTCAAAATCCCGTTCTCTTGTGGTCGGGTTTTTGAACCAAAGGCTTTGGTTGAGAGCTCTAGTCGTTCTCCTGTCTAGACATGATAGTATGCTACCCACGCAGTGCAGCAAAACTCTTCAAATGATTTATTCATACTCTAGCAGCGACTCAGGATAACCAACGATACCCTATCTGCTGAAACGAGTAGGGTGGATAGATATGAGGATGCTACGGCCCAGGAATTCTCGTCGTCTTACATCGCCTCTTACATTTTTTTCATCTTTACGGTCCCGTTCCAATAGTTCCATTCTACAACATTTGCTTGAAGTCGGTCATAAAGCTTGGATGAGTGAGTCCTTTAAAGTGGTCCATAGCATCTCTAAATTTTACCCAAATCTGCTCAAGAAACATCTATTAATCATCGCCGAGGCCATCCTGATCAGAGTTTTGAAACCAGAACTGTGCAATCAGCGAACTCTGGTACAAGCTTTGACGTTGCCTTAATCATAAACCCGTTCCAGCAATAATTGTCCGGCGTTGCATATGCGCATGCCGCCTCGTTTGACTGAGCAAAGCATTAATCTATATTTCATAATGTTTAGCTAACCAGTTGGACAGAAGTGTGGTTTCCTTCATGTTCATTCATCCTATTTTATTAAGGGTTTCACAAGCTAATTCGTGTCATAATTTTCTTCATGACTGTAGATGCTCGAAGTAACCTATCCAAAAGAATATTTCTCGCACAATTCTTAATTTCTGGTCACATGTTAAAGCACAGACACAGAAAACCGACTATGGTGGTGTTCCTTTACTAGAAATCCGTCTCACACTGTTGATCGAGCCAAGTTGAGACACTGCTTATCCGTTAAAGGCGTGCCAGCTAAACTCGTTTCCATTCTGGAGCCTCTCTACCGTGACTCCCGACGCCGTTGTCTCCCAAGTTCCCCATAACAAGTGGGATTCACCAGGTTAGTCCTATATCTTCTTTCCTCTTCGACTTTGTGATCGAAATGACTCCGCTCCTTTGGACTCTTTTGCCAGGTAACCGACTAACAAACCTTGAGTATACGAACGACAAAGTTATCCTTGGATCTGAGACAGTAGCTATGCAAACACTACTGCACAGAATGACACGCACTACTGCACGCTTGGGCATGTGCTTTGCGCCTTCAAAATGCAGGGTAGTGTTGCAAGACTGGATACATGCGCCGCCAGTTTGAACTAGCAGCGAGTAGCCAAGAGAAGCGGTGAGTCGGTTCACGTACGTTGGTAGCTGTGTCCCTTCTGGTGGTCCCACCACTGAGGAAGTTACCTCGCACATCATTAAGGCCCTTGTGGCTTTCCAGAGGCGTGACCATCTATGGAAACAGTGGGATATCAGCCTGCCAATAAAAGGTAGGGGGTATAACGTAGCGGCAAAAGAGGTGTTATTGTATGGATTAGAGACCTAGCAAGTTCGCAGTGAATACATTAAACGAATGGTCTTGTTTCCTCATCCGTACTAGAGGAGTATTGTTCAAAGCTTGCGAGAACACCGGGTTAGCAATGTTGGGGTCAGTCAGTTGGTTTCTGACAAGAAGCCTTATAGTGTCTCACTAGTGTTTGCTGAAGCTTACGTTGATCAGTTCATGTTCTCGGTACGCCGATTGACCGACTACCTCGACATGCCCCACCTCGTCGCTGCGCCAAGTTGAGCGAATCCGCAAGGACGCCAGTCGATGAGGCGCGAAGAAATTGACTCAAAAATTTGGTCAAACTGGCGCGTGCCGTTTTCGTGGATGGGGGCCTCGAGATGGTCCGTACCACTGGTTTGACGCTCTATTGGACATCGTGAAGTCGCGCAATCAGTTGATTTTTCGCATTCGGTTTCTTGGGTCTAGCTGCTAAGTTCCATTCCACGCCGATTAATCCAACGTATCTATTAATTTCATGTATTCTTGCATGCTGTTTGCATTCGACTTTAGTTCCCTAGCGTTGTTATTCTGGTGACGTGAGTGGCGGCAGCTGGATCCACCGCGCTTCGGTGCCCGAAGCATAGTTGTTCAACTGAATGAACTGAAGTGCACACATCATTTAAGGGTTTTATGAGCACAGAAATAATGCCCAAGCAAAACTATTAATTGTAACTACAGAAAATTAAGCAATGTAAACAAATGCGTTCACCTGTTAGCGCAAGGAAAACAAGACCAACAAGTGGCCTCCATCCCTAAAAAGCAATCTCAATCGACGCATCCCCCTAACTAATCGTAAGTGAAATCGAAATGCAGCATAATACTGGTCAATTTGGACCTGGGTAAAAAAACAAGCCATTCGAGCCCGCATACTACGCCCGAATCAACGGAAAAGCAAACGAAAAAAATTTAAATCATGGAGCCGCGAAAGAATTAAATAGGCTATCCAAAAACATGAGAAAGGTTAAAATACAAAATAAAACAATAATTATGTATTGTTTATACAAACACAAGGAAAGTGAGAGCGTGGTTAGAGGGGAGGCTAAACGAGAAAGGAAAGCAGAACGAAATTCTCAACATATACGCAGCTGAGGTCTGCAGTTCTCAATTTTAACAAGTGTCTTCATACATGTTCGTCGTCTTTCGGATTACACCCCAAGTCACTCGCCGTGCTGGTCGGAATTTTTTCGTTGCTCCTGACTTTTCAAGTTTTCGGATTCAAATTTCTTCGCACATCGGCCTGGGTACACTCATTCAATCGGGCTCGATCAGGTCTACCCATTGCGCAAACTTTCTTGAGGGTACTATAAACGGATCAACGTCAAAAGCCGGTTTTCAATTTTGGCTGTGTTTCAGCACAGTCGTTCGCCTACGAGTGCACCAATTTTCTGCCTTCATCAAGGTTTTTGGAGTTATCGGAAAGCTTATTGCTAGGTCTACTTCAAGAGACCTAAACCAACCCTGTTGGTAGCTGCATAAGGCAACTAGAAGCAATTATATCTTCGTACACTGCCTTGGTTGGCCAAGAGCTCTCACGCCGCATTGTGAATCGCGCTCTATCGAACGCACGCAAATCTCTTTGTTTGGCCGGATTTGTGCGTGTGCGCCTGTTGGAACTTGCGGCATAACGTGACGCGGCGCGCCACGGAATTGACCTCAGGGCTACCTGTGCACGGAGCGGTCGATTATTGAAGGACAATCTACCCTCGGCGGAATTTGGACAACTGAGCACTGTTACAACCGGTTGGTTTGTATCGATCATTGCATCTGAAACCGTGGCCTGTTTGTACCCGTGTGATTCTCGTGCACTTTAGATAGGTCGTATAAGCCCTAAAATCCTAGTCTGTTTCCTCGGCGGTTTGTCGATAACTGTTTGATTCCTCTTGATCACTGTAACAAAAACGGTGAAATTTGTCCCCTATTTTCTTATCCTTGTCCACATAAAATAGTTTTCACAAGCCCTAAAACCGAGTGACCAATCAGTAAAAATGCTCGTTACCTCAGTTAAAACAAGAAACTCAAAGAAGAGACAGGAAGCCATTGAAATGCTGGCAAAACATCCTGCTTATAACCAGTCCGTCAGCACGGAAAAAATTAAAGGCTCATCATCTAAGATGAAAATAAAGCCGAAATTGCGCGTAAGAGTAAAAAAGCAATCAAATGATAGTTCTCATAAGGTTTCTCTGATAGAGCACAGCGCAGTTACTGCAGAATCGCCCACTAAAGCGATTGAAACGATTGCTGCGCTTGAACTACAGCTGAAGGATTTGAAGGAAAGGTTTGAATCTCTGTACCAAGTGCTAGAGCAATTTAACTCGCTTAAGTATCTTTTTAATACTCCAGATACACCAAAAATGGAACACCTTCGATCCGTTGGGAATCTTATACAACATGTTGCATTTGAGGTGCATGAGCGCATTAAACGCTCCAAAAATGTTATAGCATTTAATTTACCAGAAAAGTTATCTCTTGAGTCTATCTCCTCTGCAGTGGCAAACGACTGTCATATTGAAAGACTGCAGTTTTCTTGCGTGAGGCTGCGAAAGAAATCTCCGAAGCAGGTCTGTCCAGTACTTTTAAATTTTCAAACGACACACTTGCTGAAAAATTCATTTGTAGTAGGAGCGCATTATCCCTTAGGAAAGATTACGTATCCATGGTCCTGAAACCAGATTTAACAGTACTACAAAGGGAGTGCAAAAAAGCCTATTTCCGACAAACAGTCTGTGACCAATATGTTCCGCTACCCACGGAAACTCAGGAACTTCCCCACCTGGTTGACCTAGATGACACTCTGATCATAAATGAATCAGCTCTAAGGTTGAAATCAAATAGCAACTGTCATAAAAATATCGCTTCTGACTCCATTCAGTGTCACATTAGTCCAGCATTACCGCGCAACTCGTCCCCGAACATACAAGAAAGTTCCATTGCGCAAACGACTATTTCTACTCACTCTTTGTCGTTCACCAACCAGGTGCATAGACGCTCTGGTACGAAACTGAAAACCTCCTCTCCTAAAAGCTGTGAACCTCTAAAACTGAGGAACAGCCTTGTTGCAAAGAACACTGGTAACAAAACCTCACGTGGAATCTATACGGGTGCTCCTAAGCACAATAAAAACACAGCTATTTTAAACGTTCCACCAAACGCTGTCACCACTGAAAACCAGCAGACAATCGGCATATCTCCAACCATGCAGCATTTGAATATGCGACCTGTGCGCTCCATAACTTGTGAGCCACTTGCTAGTGAACTTCAAGTAGCTGAGAGAAATTGGCCCAACCAAAATCCTCTCAAACTACCTCAACATGTAAATAATCTTAACTGGCACGTAGGTTATGTGCAACAGCCAGCAAACTGTAATCTCCCAGTGGGTCGCCATTTTCCCAGTATTTCACCCTTCCGACCTTTTTTGGGGGTCCAGTGGCGTTTTACCCGCCACACCCCCAAATGACACTAATTCCGCAAATTATATGTCCTCCGTATCCACCACCCCACTCCACTCTCTCCAAATACCACCTCGTTGGGGTCCTGTACCTGGATTCCTGTAGACAACCCAACGGATAACAAGACACTGCACTTACTTTTAATTAATTCCCGTTCACTGTTAAATAAAATGCACTTCCTGCGTAATATTCTTCACCTTTCTTCTCCTGATATAGTACTAATTACAGAAACATGGTGTTCAGCAGAGATGTCTGACACATTGTTCAGGATACTGGGTTATAACATCTTTCGTAATGACCGCCTTTATGGTAGAGGTGGTGGCTGTATAATCTACGTCAAAGACAAATACTTGGTTCTGCCTCTGAATGAACCACTCCTACGGAAACTTCCTGATTCGGTGTGGATTACAATTTCTATTAATCCAACAAATCTCTTAGTAGGTTGTATTTACAGACCCCCATCGTCTACACTCACCGTGACCGATGACTTGTTGGACACATTTTCTTTTATTGCTGACCTCTCATACACTAATAAAATAATCGCTGGGGATTTTAATATGCCCGAAATCCCATGGTCCCTTAACAATAAACCACAAAAACACAATCCTTTTATGTCTACTCTTGGTCGACTGGGATGGGTACAGCACGTCACAGAACCTACACGGCTTGGTAACACACTTGATCTAATATTTACTATGGGATGTTCGCATGTGTCCACATACATCAGTGACAAGTTGCCGGGTAGTGATCATAACATCGTTGGTTGTTCTTTCCAAATTCTTTCTAAACCGATAGAATCAGTGATCAATTACCGCCCATTCTCTTCTGTGAATTGGTCAATTTTCTCGGATCTTATAAGGTCTTCATATTGGGATCCATTCTTCTTAGCACAGAATGTACAAATTGCTTGTAATGAATTCTACCACCGCATTCAGCTTTGTGTTGAAGCTGTGGCTCCAGAACGTACCAAGAAGTTGAAAAGGACTGCTGCACCTGCAGGCATCTCAAAAAAGGTAGCCACTAAACTTCATAAAATAAAGAAAAAATTTAGGAAAACAAACGATTTTACTCTGCTGATGCTCCACACCAGATTGCTTACAGCGTTATACCAAGACCACCACAAAATGCTATGCTCTGAGGAAGTAATGGCACTGAAGGGCGCCAACGTGGTAGGCTGCATCTCAAAACTTTTGGACCGTAGGCAGAATAGAAAATCAAGTTGTATAAACACCATTGTAAACTCTGATGGAACTGCCATAACCGACCGTGCAATCATATGTTCGATCTTCAATGACTACTTCATGTCTACTTATAGCACTAATGCGAATGAAGATCCTCAGCTCAAGCTGATACACAGAGGCAGAAATACACTCCAAACTGTTGAATTTACACTTAGTGACATATGTCGCCAACTCAGATTAGTTCGGCCATCATGCTCACCAGGCCCTGACAACATCCCTCCAATACTGGTAAAGCACGGAGGTCCAGACATCCCCCTGTTTTTGCTTAATGTATTTACACTTTCCATGCTCAATGGGGAGTATCCTATACACTGGAAACAATCAACTATAATACCAAGACACAAAAGCGGATCTATGCAAGATGTAAAAAATTACCGCCCAATCCACCACACATCTATTATCTCCAGAATCATGGAGAGGATAGTTAAAGAACGCATAATAGAATATTTGAGTTCTATGAGCCTTCTCAGTAAACATCAGCACGGTTTTTTGAAAGGTAGGTCGTGCACTACCTGTCAGTTAGATTACCTTGATTATGTGACTAGAGCAAGAGACGCCGGAAGTGCCATCATCGTAATATTTCTTGACATCCAAAAGGCTTTTGACCGTGTCCCACACAATTTATTGTTGCGGAAGCTTATGTCCTATGGTATCACAAATTCGCTTCTAGATTGGTTGTCTTCCTACCTCGAGGGTAGAAAGCAAGTAGTCAAAATCGGTAACTATACATCTGAAGCCACTACAATCTCTAGTGGAGTGATTCAAGGTAGCGTGCTAGGCCCGCTTTTATTCTTAATCTATTTCAACGATCTCCTTGATGAAATCTCGTATGGGAAGCCGTTCCTTTTCGCTGATGATGTTAAAATTGTGTATTGTTCCGCCCCTGGGCAATGTAGTCCTAACTTAGCCTATATTCAGTCTGACTTGTCCGCATTGGAGCTCTGGAGTAACTCCTGGAAGTTGCACTTTGCCACTGACAAGAGTAATCTATTGTACCACGGCTGTGGCCCTTCTCTGAACATCCTTACATTAAACGATACCCCTATTCCTGTGTGTGGCGCAGTCCGAGACCTTGGTCTAAGATATTCTGCCTCGTTTAATTTTTAGAGCATGTTATATTCTTGCAGGCTTCTGCCAGAAAAGTGATCGCCTATATAAGTCGAACTCTTATTTTGAGGGATTCCAGGCTTCAAGCCTTTAAAATATGTGTTAGGCCGAAGCTTGAGTACTGTACGATAGTGCATAGTAATCTGAGAAAAGTGGATATTATAGCACTAGAAAACATTCAACGATCATTCACAAAAAGGTTTTTGAACATGCCTAATACTATGACATACCGTGAGCGTTGCGAGGCGCTAAATCTGGAGCCGCTATGGCTACGCAGACTCAAACTTAATCTGTGCCTTCTATACCGCTTACTATTCGGGTTAAGCTTCACTGCTCAGCCACAACTCGAGTTTCAGACTCGTATGCGCTATGAACTAAGAAACAGCGAGCGCACGGTGAAAATACCAAAGTCTCGCACAAAGCTCCGCTCAAATTTTTTCTCCGTAAAATATGCGTTAATATGGAACAAACTTCCATCGAGTGTTAGAAACTGCACTACCTATCCACAATTCAGACGCATGATTAATATTCACCTGACTGTTGCAAATATCTGGTCAACACTAAGCCAAACGGTGACTCTAGATGATTTGTATGAGAAAGGTCCTGGATACATATGAAAGTCACCATATCCTCTATTCGTTTCAATAATATAAGATTACCTACATATAGTTGCATTCTTGAGTATATATTTGAGAACGATCTTACTCCTATCAATCCGTCTAACCAATTCTGTTTTCTCCTTTGACGCACTGGTTCGTAGATGCACTACGCCTTTCAAGCTGATGTCTCTGTACCATCGTCGTCACTCGCCAAGATTTTCCATCAAATTGTGACTGGCCTATCGGCAAGCGTTTGTATTCATCATTATGTTTTATAATTCCTCATACTTTATCTTCTTCTTTGTTTCACCGTTGGTCATGACTGGGCTGATCTCTTGTGGTGACGGATTACAGCTTCCAAAATAAAAAAGTATACCCATGCAAATCATATTACTACTGACTCGCTGGCTTAAAACAAAAAAGTGCCATACTTGATTGATCCGCATGACAGAACGGGCTGAGGCTTCATCGCCTATAATGTATGCATAAAACAGCCCTAAAAAAGACATTTGATACCTAGTTCTGATGGCCTATTTACTATCTTGCCACACAGGCACAGAGCCAATTGGAGCATGGAAGTGCGGGTGAAACCCATCGTGGAAATACCCTGCATGGAAGCAAGTCCCCTGGGGACAGTTCCATGGATGACCGTATTACTTTACTTGAACTTTCCGTGAAATCTACATTTATTATTGTTCCCAGTTTCTTTATCTCTCTACTTTTTCCAAACTGCTAATCAATTCAAAAACCCATATGGGAACCATTGATCAAAAGACGAATAATTAACTATATTATGCGATCACGTTGTACATGTTGATAAGACCACCCAATTGGTCTGTGCCTCGCACTGCTGAGGAATAAAACGTTTATTTATTTATTTATTTAAGTGTCGAGAAGCGCTAACCGAGGCCATGTTCGAACCGAGAGCCCTCGTTACTCTTGCTCAAGTCATTGGCTGGCCTCCATCATGATCACTATAGACGTTGGCTAGAGGTGATAAACATCTCAGCTATTGTGCCGAAATACATAAGAAAAAGCATGCGAACAGAAACACGCCGGTTGAGTCACCAGTAACGGATGGGCATCGTACCGGAGAGCCAACAGCTGGTTACTGTGTCGCAATAGAAAGATAGTTACACTATGCCTAGTAAATGAGATCGTGGTTGGAGGGGGTGGAAAAGAAACTCACAACACAAGCACCACTGAGATCGGCTCCTTGCTATATCAATAAGTGTATCCAGCTAAACGTACTCATGGTCTTTCGGACCCCACCTAGGGAGCCGAGACGCCAAAACCGAGGCCAACTTAGAAGTAAGGGGTTTAATTCCTCTTGACCAAGTCATCCTTTGGCCAACTATCCTCTTCTTACCTCCACACCACCGACGAGAAAACAACGCATTTTGCGGCAGTCGGTTGCCTGGCCCCAGTAGCCCAAAGAATGCACATCACGGGAGTCGATGTAGCCGCATGCGCGGTTCAGTTACTCTTTCTGCACCAAAAACAAGACGGTGAACATGTCCATTGGTCACAGTGTTCCTACCAAATATGAGCTAAACAGCGAAGGATCCGGTGATCGAACGAAAATAGCTTTTTATATCTATCTATGTGATGGACCAAGTTTCTCAGCGGCACAGTAGGAGTGAACGGGCAGCAACATTGTAGACTCCACCCTCCTGGGCAACCGTGATGTCACATCGGCGTCATGAATGGCGAAGATGAGCAAAAGCGCCTTGCGCTTCTCTTATAATTGTTTGTGACCTAATCTTCTATTCCACAGGCTCCGATCTAGCTGCTCAGGTAGTTGGGTTTCTGGAAGTTCCAGCTGATCACTATCAAGGGTCAGCGCAGGGATTGGTTCCCGCCAATTCTGGAGGTAGACTGTGCAGTATAAGGACATAAATCGCAATCTGAAACGAAAGGCAAAAAAGGCATTAGCAGTATCCCGGTACGCGGTAGCGACGCTTCGCTGCCGCGCAACCACCACCAGTCGCATGTGAGCTAAGGATACTGCGAGGGCCGCTCGGCTCCTACGAAGGCTCGAACCCGCGCCCTCGGGTTACAAGGCAGGCTTTTGATCCTTAAGGCTACGGGCCGGCTTGAAGCGATTGATAACCATTGCTAATCTACGCAGTTCTTTGCGACAGGTTTCCAAACTGCTAGACAGGGTATGATGGTCGGTATACTGCAAGTTCATCCAGCTTTGCGACTTTCCTTAGTTTCAATAGTCCAATCTTACGTTTCAATTCTTCGCGGGTGTGCGGAGATAAATGGACAGCCCGACGGGCATGGTGATCACTGACCGATAAGGAAATTGGCAATTCTTACTAATTAGATAACTTTTCAGTGTTGGGTTAATTGTTGCAAGCGTTCTGACAGCATTTACATAAACTATTCTCCCTCGTAGCACAGCCTGGCTAATAATGGCACGGCCTTCAAATCGGCCGTTGCCATTTCACTGGAACACCGTGTTTACCTTATCTGCTGCGGATTTAACAGTCCTCACTGGACATTATTGACATTTTCTTCGGTTATAATATTTCAAGGTCACTAGCGCTGTATTGCGCTGAGTTTTAACATGTGCTTTGAGATGCCGTGCGCGTTACGCGTAAATTTAGCAAAGGCGCTTTTGTAACCTAAAGAACCATCGTTCCGATTGATAGACTGAGTTCCGACACTGTCACTTCAACAGAAAGCAAATGCCAGTGATTCATTTTTTTCAAAAGAAAATAGTACATGTATATAGAAGGCCGTATTCGGGTGACACCTATGCACTTGATGCCAATTTTTCCATCGAGAAATTTGCATTTTTAAATTTGCCATTTTAATCCATCTGTAGTACTTACAGTAAAATACTGAAAAGGCACCGCTTCGGGTACAGTAAGCCTATAGTGACTTGAGTACCAGGTCTACTGTTGCCGTTCCTCTTTTCCAAACAGAACACATTCTGACAATTAAAGAAAAACAGTGGCTATTTCAATCTCTGACGCAAGATGAGACCACCAAGTTTCGCAGTCTCTTTTCAGGCTAGTAAAGAATCTTACCCTGAGATCTTTGCAAGGCCCGTCATATTCGCTTCCAGTATGAATGCGTGAGTGAGCATTCAGTAAATCTGGAGACTGCGTCGAGATCCAATGCCTAAGATGGTAGTTGGTTTTTCTACGTGAAGACATTTCGCCGCTAATAACGTCTGGTGCACATGCGACCAGTGAACTCCAATTGTGTTCAGTAAGCCCTTACTCAGTCGTGATACCAGCGCAATTCGATAGTTATTCAGAACCTCCGGTTTCGCCAGCCGGTAAGTGTCTATGCGCTCACAACGTCAGCAGATGCGCTTGTCGAAACACGCCCGGATATCTGTCCATACAACTGCATGGTTGGAGTCTACACTGTGCTTCAAATTGAGCGGCAGTTTTGAACGCAACCTCTCCAACGATAGATGATCATGATGTGACCAGTGCGATTCCGGCTGCCGCTAGAACGAGAACGTAAGGCATAGAAGCAACACTCTGGAAGGGAACATTCTAGGTAACGATAAGGGGGCTTAATTCAGTAAACGATAGACTATCGCTTGCTGGTTAATGGACAATACGATGCGAAAGTTCGTGTAAAAATGTGGTGCTATGGATGGATTCACTGTGACTCCTCTGAGAGAAATGTCTCCAACATTGAAAAAAGCGCAATCCATAGATTCGAGACCGTTGGGACAAGTACTGCAAGCTTCGCCACAAGAAGGAAATTTCAGCAGCAGAAAATTGATTACAGTAGGAAGCACATGTACCTAGTAGTACCGAAAAAAGCCGACAATTTTTGGACAATGTTTCATTTCTGTAAAACGGGGTCAGCTTATAAAAAGGTTATACGCAATTTGAAAAAAAGTCACATGCAAAATCCACCCTGGAATTCACTGCACGCCCCTATCTTCTCTTAGCGCCACCCGCTAGTGACGGACGGCGTTTTAGATATGGATTTAAAGCGTCGCCTTTTTGGTACGGTTTCTATGAAGCACTGTGGACAGCGTGCCTACCACTAACCACATTACTTTTATGGCGAGAATGCGCGGTATATCGCACAGCTGACCTTCGTGACGGGTGGCAATAACAGAACATAGGCGAATATAGAATTAAACAGCACGTAAAATAACATGAGGAAATACATTTAATTTAAAGCCGGCGGCATATGTACTCGTTTCTGCAAAGATACTTTTACGTTTTGGAAGATCGCATGTACTTAATGCACATTTCCTCTCAGCTGGATCATGTGACGTTGCGTTGGTGCTATTTTGGGCAGCGAATCAAAAGCGCCCATACATTATGATCACAACAACCGATCAATAGTAGAACAGGTTTCCCTTGAACACGCTCAAATGAAGCAGGTAATGATGACGTCAACATTGGGAAGAAACAATCTTGTTGCTGTTTTTGCTGTTTTTAAGGGTCGGCTAATACACGGGCCGGCGACTTTGGGCAAATTGGATATTGCAAAAGTATACTGTCAGTCTATCCATGGACAGGCTTACATTCGGGGGCAGGTGGTCGAGTGGTCCGCACGCCTGGCTTGCAATCATAACGTCACCGGTTCGAATCTGTGTAGGGGCGGGCATCCTCGCGGTATAGTCAGCCCACGCGCGACTGGTGGTGGCAAAGCGGCAGCGAAGCGTCCTTACGACGTATAGCTGACATATTATCATTATTATTGCTACTACTACTATTATTATTATTATTATTGTTACATCTGGTAATACACGGTACCTGTGTTTCTGAGTAATAGCAAACAAATCAAAAAAGAAAAAACACTAGCAGTGTAGTGTTACGTGTTGATACTTTGTTGTCGAGTGAATGCAAACGGCTGTATGCGAGATGAGATACTGCATGGGCACGAGAAAATATGTAGAAGCCCAGATGCAAAAACGGGACGCATGGATTGAAAGCCGAAGGCCCAGCACTCAACTACAGTAGAATGCAAAAAACGAAGAAAAATCACCTGTTGAGAAAATTTAGAGACTCTTAACTGTGCCTCACCAAGCCATCGAAACTGCCACAAAACGAACTTGCGCAAAACCGATACTTTTCAAACTATCCGAACTTGTATATTTTTCATCGGTTCCAAACATATTTCTAGACAATGAACAGATGAGTAGGTTTTTCCTAGCTTTTCTGAAACGACTAGTTCACGATCAATTCAAGCACACCCCAAGATATCAAATGAACAAACACTTCATGCAAAGTGCGATAGAAATGTGGAATAAGCCATACTATGATAGGCGCTTAACAGAGAAACCTGAATAGTGAAGCAGAGCAATTCAGTCAAGAATGGTCTGATGTCATATTCAAGCAAGAGAGAATATCTTGTTGCAATCAAAGTATTGCTTAAAATGGCAACTTCCAGCACAAAACCATAGCTGTGTGCAGAAACGGATGCACAAATGCGCCTGGTTGGAAAAATACTCGAGGTATTCAACGGCATACCTGTGCTTTCGGAGGCCATAAATCAGCTGAGCGGAAGGGATAGGTGAGGTATTAACCAGGAATCGTCTTTAGCTCTTGTTAATGTAGTTGGTAAATAAGCCACTGCATACATCGGATAGCTGAAAATGAAAACAAAGATATCGGATAACGTTGAAGAAATATCTGATCATATGTAATAGGGAGAACGATTGGATTGCACCCAGAATATACTGGCAAATGAGACCGGTAGTGTGGCTTTAAGAAGCAATGGACTAAGGTGCACTGCTTGATCTACTATATTAGCACTGTTTTCTCGAAATCACCATTAGTCCCAACACGCATCACTGACAACAACTAGTGTAGCGGCTCACAAACGAAAAAGGTCTTTGACAAAACGATGTTGTCTAAACACAGGCAGGAGCAGGATTTCAGCAGTACGCCAGTGTTTCGTACCGACGCTTCGCTGTTACGCAACCACCACCAGTCACGCGTGGGACGGGGATACTGTGACGTCGCCTGTACATAAGCAAATTCGAAGTGGTGACATCTGTAATACGAGGTAGGCACCTTATCCTTTCAGTTACCGGCCGACAAGTGACAGGTGTGCGCTAGTATATTGTGGTGAGGTTTCGCCGCCATGCAAATGCAAGTGGTTGCTCGCGCGTTGGAATGCTTCTATGGTGCCCGAACACAGGGAGGGGGAGCGGGAACCCGAACTGGGACGAAGAAGTTGCAAGTTATACGCAAAAACCAATACACCGTTGATATCCACTTTAGCTATAACGCGTTTATGCTTGGATGACGGGATGTTCGCCGGGCGGTTGCCGAAAGCATCACACATTTGTTGTACTCCAGAGGCCACTAGCCCAAATTCGTGTAGATAAGAGCAAACTAACGGTATACTCAGCCCTCGCGCAACTGTTGGTAGTCGCATGGCAACGAAGCGCCGGTACGGTGTGCTAGCACAATGCTAATTCCTTTTATGCTGATGGGGTGGACTTAAGTACGAATAAGATAAACCCAACCCCAGTTATCCAAGCCGAGGAAGAAAACAGCAGCAACATATTTGTGTGAGAATACCTTAACAAGTGAACAGTCGGACAGTAAGAATGTTGTCAAGTTCTTGTTACCCCGCAATAGGGGTTTCGAACATAAGTTGTGGACCACAGCTGCTGATCCGCCTATATGTGAACAGTCCGGAAGTAGCCCAACCCAAACACAGCTATGGCGGTCACATCAAATTTTAATCTTACTCTGCATCGGCCATCGTGCAGTGTAAAAAAATGTTACAGTATTTACAACGTATAGCAAGCCAGATGAGTACAAAAAGGCTACCTTTGACGCACACCCTCCCCATATGCACTTTTTCGGGTTTCGATTCGCCTCCTGGTTTCGGCTCCGCGTGTTGCGCTGTTTGTCGTCATGCACGACGTCTGCGGATAGCGACCTCCTGCGCATTCTGTTCTCTTGAGACAGGTAGTCCACTACGTTTATTTGCAGATATTTGTGTCATCTGTAAGTCATCTGTTTGACCATGCCGATCATTTCGGTCTCGCCCACTACGCCAATGCGGCCACTGAACACCTGCTCTATCTGCACTCAGCGTGTAGGACCTCGTTCCAAAGCCATCACCTGCTCGATCTGTCTTCACCGTGTTCACGCTCCTTGTGACAATTCGCTCCATGCAGCTGACATCGAATTCTGTCGCTCGCATCCACAGACGGTCCTGCGGTACATTTGCCCGGTTTGCATTCCCAGAATTGCGAACTACGTGCGGGATATTTCTTGCGACCTTTCCTCCACGACTTGCCCTATGGTTGGTTCTGTAATCTCGTCTCCCACTAACCCGCCCTCCACACCGCGTAACAAGCAGTCGCAGACGCAGTCGCCCCGGTCACCACGATTCGTTGAGCCGCCTAGCAACAATGCTCGCTCAGAAGTGCGCTTGCTTAATCTGGAAGAACAGCTACAGAATCTATTGCGGAAAGTCGACGGTCTAACCAAACGACGACAACAACCTCCCAACCGTCCTGAATCACGCACCGTCTCACCGTTACCAACTGCTGGTCTACCCAACACTTGCCGACGACCAACGCTTCCGACGGAGGCCCTCCCACCAAGTAAGCTTGCTACCGCTCCACATCCGCGTTCGTCTAAGCGAATAACGAGTAGCCCTGCTCCTAATTCTGTCATATGTACAAACGTGCCCGAGTCCAACGACCCGCAACTTCAGAATCGACATTCTCATGATTCCACTATGTGGAGCTCAATCTGTACCGCGTTAAACCTCCCTGAAACAAAACCCATTAGTCTCACAAGACTGACTCGCCACACTTCATCTCCGAGCGCCGGTAAGCCAAGACTTCTGCGTGTTGACTTGCAGCCAGGCCCGGCTATGGAGGATGTCCTGTTGTCAGCACACCTACTCCGAAACAATGCGTCTCTCGGCATTTACCAAATTCGTATCTTCCCCGACATCCCTTGGACTAAGCGCGCTGCGCGCAGACAGCAACTGACGCCACCCACTCAACCATGCTCCATCATTGTGCATGGCGTCCCAGAACTGCATGCCCTTGACGCAACCTTACAACAACGACAACAGCATGACTGTAATCAATGGCGGTTCCTTCAGCAGACACTAAATATTGTCAACGTAATCACAACGGACGTTCACCGCCTACCTCGTCCAGCAAGTTATACAGGAACAGCCCCCGTCTCCTGAAAGTGACATTCCTCACCGCTAGCATGGCAACCGATGCACTCACCATCTGGTATGCTAATAAAAGACGAGCACCACCAGATATCCGTCTGCGTCCAGATGGGCACCCGGTGCCGAGGCGCACAGCTTCCCACAGACCCCTGGTAGCAGCAGCAGCAAACTCGGTACCGACACACTCTGACCAGATCGTCCTCAGACGGTCCACCACCGAACCACCTGCCTCACTGCCTGGAGTAATTTACTCACCTACACATTCCAACCTTCAGACTTTCAACGACCCAGCCGCCAGCACCCATCTGTGCTCCGACGACCCACACCTTGTTTCCCCAACTACAAACCTTAGCGGCTCCACCCCTCTAAACCAAAAAAACGGTGCACTGCCGGTCATCTGCTGACCGGCAGCACCCTAGTTACTCCCGCGCTCATCACCCAAACGGGCCTCACCTGTATCTACACGAACGCACAGGGCCTCATGTCCAAACTTCCGGAGCTCCAATCCCGACTTCTATCAACACCAGCGGACCTAATAGCCATAACGGAAACGTGGCTCTCCGGCGACATAACCGACGGTGAAATCCAACTTCCTCACATGTCAGTTCTCCGCTCTGACCGCGCAACCCCAGGTGGCGGTGTCGCACTGTACTATGACATCTCCCTCAGCTGCAGCATGTTAACAAACACTGCCCTCCAGTCTCCAGACACCATGTGGTGCGAGGTCGTACTAACCGCCAAACACTCCAGCTGTCTTGGTATCATTTACCGCCCCCCAAACAACTCTCCCGAGAAGGATGCACGACTACTGCACGACATCCACCTTATGTTATCCCACAAGCGCACACACTTTCTTATCATGGGTGATTTCAACCTGCCCCGTCTATTTCACTCTGTCCCGTCTACTAACTCCTTTGCATCAGGCCTCATTGATCTTCTTCACACGGCCCCGTTGTACAACCACACGTATCAGCCGACCAGATTCCGATCCAACAACCAACCGTCCCTGCTAGATCTCGTCCTCACTAACGAAGAACTGATGGTTGAGCACGTTGAGTATGATGCCCCTTTGGGGCTTAGCGACCACTGCGTCCTCCGTTTCGATTTTATATGCTTCGCCGAAAAACTCGTCAGCACGCCAACTTATACCAAACGCTGGACTGATTACGGAAAGTTGAACCTTCTCATTTCCGCTAACAACTGGTCACCCGAGCCCCAATCGAGTGCCGACAGCGTGTGGTCAAGCTTTTGCCTTACCCTACGTGAACTCTGCTCCACTACGACGACGTGCAAAGAAGTTTCCATAGGGAAGAGACGCCCAGCACTCATCCGAAGTCGTACACGGAAATGGATTGCCTCCAGGAACACGGCATGGAGAAACTATCGCTCCCATCCAACGGCCACTCAGTGGGAATATTACCGATCCATCCGTAACCAATGCGTCCATCTTGTACGAGAAGATAAGAGTGAGCACCAGCGTCAACTTATGCGTAAATTTTCATCCAATCCCAAAGCCTTGTATAGTCATGTCAATAGTCTTCGACAAGTCAAGCACGGTGTCACCGCATTGACGACCCCCACAGGGCTCACGAAATCAGCTAACGAGGCAGCAGAAGTCCTGTGCCAGCAGTACGCATCCACATTCTCCGTTCCATCAATGCACACAACGACGGTACCTTCTTCGGTTTCACTCTCAACTTCCCTGACGACTGTTCATTTCACTCCGGAGAAGGTCCTGGCGAAACTCAAATCCCTGCGGCTAACGGCCTCTCCTGGCGCTGATGGTTTCCACCCACGGCTCTTGCGAGCGTGCGCTGCAGCTCTAGCTTTACCCCTAGCGGAGCTGTTCACCCACTTCTTCTTGCAAGGCAAAGTTCCCAATGATTGGAAATGTGGGACTATTACACCAATCTACAAAGGCGGTACTCGCAAAGATCCGGCCAATTACCGACCGATAACTCTCCTATCTACGATCTCCAAAGTGATGGAATCGATCGTCGCAGACGCTTTAATGGACCACATGGAGGCCCAGAAACTGCTCTCTGATTGCCAGCACGGTTTCCGGCGTCAACGGTCTTGCCTGAGTAACCTGCTTCTTGCCAGGGACAGCTGGACGACTGCAGCCGACTCTGGCCAAGAAACGCATGTTATCTTCCTGGATTTCGCCAAAGCCTTCGACAAGGTCGACCACAAGATTCTGCTGCGGAAACTGTCATCTTACGGCGTTTCAGGGGACTTGATGGACTGGATCCGGAACTACCTCCAAAACCGTACCTTCCAAGTACGCGTCGACGGAGCGTTGTCTCCCCGCATCCTTGCCACAAGCGGAGTTCCACAGGGGTCTGTTCTCGGACCGCACCTCTTCCTAGCCTTCATTGACGACGTCACACCGCAAGTGGAGTCTTCGCTGCTACTATACGCGGATGACGCGAAGCTGTGGCGCACAATTAACCTTCCGGACGATGCCCACGCACTTCAGACGGACCTCGACCGTCTAAATCAGTGGTCCATAGAAAATAACCTTCCATTTAACGCTTCGAAATGTCGCGTCCTTTCTACCCGCCCTTCCGCTTTTTCTCCTGTATATTACCTGGGAGCGTCTATCCTCCAGATCTCTTCAGCCGAAAGAGACTTGGGTATCATTACCCAGACGAGTCTTTCCGTATCCGCTTCCTGCCGGAAAGCAGCTGCTGCTGCTAACCGCATGGTGGGATTGCTGAAACGAGCCTTCGGTCAAATTGACCCCAGCAATTTCCGCCTCCTCCTTAACGCTTTTCTTCGACCCCACTTGGAGTTCGCTATTCAGGCTTGGAGCCCTTGGTTGTTGAAGGACCAACGCATACTCGAAGCCCCACAACGTCGAGCAACCAAACTGGTCCGAGGTCTCAAGCACCTAGATTATCCACAACGACTTCAGTGCCTGGGCCTCTACTCGCTTAAGTACCGACGTCTACGGGGTGACCTGATCCTCGTATTCATGATCTTATCCAACCCTGGACATCCCTGTCGCCACCTACTCACACTGCACCAATCGGGCTCCCACCTACGTGGCCACCCACTGAGGCTCACACATCAGCACAGTCGGCTGAACTGCAGACGACACTACTTCGCTTTGCGAATCTGCCGACCGTGGAATGCTCTGCCTGCCGATTTAGTCTTGGCACCCACTGTGGCGGACTTTAAGACCCGCTTGGACTGTCATCTGGCCGAGCTACACCGCGATATTCCCTAATTTAACTGCATTCTACTGGATGGAATTTCTTTCTTTTTTTCTTCCACCTACTTCCTTTCCAAAGCCGTTTCGGAGGGCGTGGTGGGATGTCTCGCTTTGAGCCGGCGTGCATTCTGTTTAAATGCCACATAAGCCCGATGAAGATACGGCTAACACGCGAGTCCAACCCGCTATAAGGTTGCTTGGCCTTTCATTAGACCCGACCCGTACTCTTTTTACCCTATGGGTCATGTAAAGCTCGAGCTTTTATTCCCATTAAGTACAATGTTCCAATGTTCCAAAACTCCTTTTGTTTCTTTACTATGTCGGACAAAGTTTCCCGCGCTGACAATACCGAAATCTTGTTGGTCTATCTTTCCCTGTCTTCGATTCATTTAATCATGTGTGGTTTTTACAATTGGAAACCCTGTTTCGCATACGTCACGTTACTTCGCATTCATTAATGTTCGCACTCATTGCCCAGTTTTTCACCCACATCGCAACTGACCTTATAAATTTGCTCGATCCGATTCCAGCCGACGCACCTTACGATAAACTGAAAGCTGCCGTTTTAAAGCGCACCACGGCTTCCGACGAAGCTAGACATCGACAGTTAATCTCCCTGTGTTGAACTAGGCGATCGCACAACGTCACAACTTTTCGGGCACATGCGAACGGTGGTCGTTTCCTCTCAGATCGATGACACAATTCGGCCACAGCTTTGGACGAAATGTCTTCCAGCGAACACAGCTCTTCTCACTGTGTTCGCAGATGAGTTGTCTTTGGTTATTCTAGCCCTTGGTGTCAATAGCATGAATGCTTTGTTGTAATGGTTATCATGTCTTATGTCTTAATTAGGCAGGTATGAGTACGTTTCCTGATACAACAATATTTGATCGCCAGCTAGCTCCTTCAGCAGTTCTAGCTCCTTCTCTGACCCCATACAAGTTGAATGTTGTGTGTCTCAACGCCTGGTGCTAGGTCCCCGATTGTTTTTGTATTTATCAATGACCTCACACAGGCACTTACATCTAATTTCCTGCTGTTTTCCGATGACTTCAAGATTTGGCGCAAGTTTCAGGGGAATAATGACCAGTAACTGGTTCAGAGTAATCTAGACACGGTACATCAGTGGTCCATCCAAAATTCACTGCAATTCTATGTGGGTAAATGCAAGGTGTTCTCCATACGACACCAGAGCAACGACCGTTACAGGCTCGGAACGCATGTGTTGTAGCGAGCTGTCACCGAACGTGATTTGGGTTTACTGGTTCAGGATGATCTGGGTTGTTCCAGGCAGTCCGGGAAAGCCTCTGGTAGTCAAAATGTGGGCCTGTCATGACGGGCTTTCGGACAAATAGATCGCTCTATTTTCCGGCAGATGCTTAGTGCGTGTGCTCACCCTCATGTCGCATATACAACTCAAGCCTGGCTCCCGTGGCTAAAACACGACCTTATTGCATTGGAGCAGCCCCAACGTCGAACAACAAAGTACGTCGTTGGAATGCACCATCTTCCATACGAGTCGAGGCTGGAACGGGGTATTCAGCGGACGTTAGCGCCGCCTACTGGGTGACTTATTAATCATGTACTTAAAGCTGCACGATCCACATCATGTGTGCCGTTGTTTATCGCAACTCAGCAGTAGTACCGACATGAGAGGTCACTCACTAAAACTGACAGAACAGTACAGCCGCCTGGATTGTCGTGGGAACTTGTTTTCCGTCCGCGTGTCACCCGTGGAATGCTCTTCCAGAATCGGTCGTTTCTGTACCAGTACTATCCATATTTATAAGGCGCTTAGATGACTCACTTATTCACCTACAATCTGTTACCTAGTACTACATCTCCATACCACGCCAGGAATATAGTTTGGATTTATTTAGTGTGAAAGTACATGGATCGTAGGAATACAGCGAAACAAACAATAAGTCCCTCTTTTAAAAGTAAATAGCCCACTACTCTTTTATTTTTCGATAATCCTGCAAAACCATCCAACGTGACGTGTAAAACATCACTTCATAACCTGTATAAATTCCTTTTTCTTTGTTCAGAAGCCGCAGCTAGAGAGGCTTGAAGTTAAGCTGCTTACAACGTGCGCGGTAGTTAAAAGTACTTTTGTTACCGAACCAAGGTTTAGTGAATTACTCCTGTAAATTCTCCATGATTTCCTTGCCCAACTTCCGCATGCTACCATGAACGAAGTTTCAGTATTCCAGAATAGGAGGAGCAAGATTTTTAAATAATTCTAATTTGGCAGAGACAGGGTGGACTTTTTGGCATGTTAACCACGGACCATTTGATATTGGGCCCTTACGGCGTACATCTGACACATTATTATTATTTATTTTTGGTTAAAAAAGCGGAGATCAGAAGAATATCGGATTCCAAGTTCACGAGTAGATTGCGGTATGGATGTAGTTTTTTTGTTAAGTTTAATTGACTCTTCGGGGATCGAACAACCACTTGATAGTGTGTTTACTTTGTCAGTCGAACTTTTTATCCGCCACGTGTCGGACCATTCCTCAAGAGTGAATATCAGCTTGAATCAAAAATAGTTTGCTCTGCTTCGCATGAAACCTGAGTTTATAGGCAGTCTTTATGTCAGCAACAACTGGAAAGAGTGCCATTTTTGATGGACATGCCGACATTGATGTAGAGAAGAAGCAGAGCCAAGTCAGTTCCTTGGATAACGCCGTTGGCAATTAGTCGTGGAGAAGGGTGGTTGTCACCCAAAGCGACTACTTGAAGCCGATTGCAAAGGTCGGACGAAAACCAACTTAAAAAGGTTAGAATTCCAAAAGTTCAATAGCCGTTTGTGTGATATACGGTCAAATGATTTTGCTAAGTCCAATAACAATTATTGCTTGACCTAAGTCTATGGATTCTGTAGTGTAGGTAGCGAAGATTGGATCTAGTAAGTCGTGTGGAGATATAGTTTGAGGAAACTATGCTGAGATGTGTTAAACAGGTTCAGCGAATTAATACATTCCATCAAAGTTTTCTTGATTAATCTTTCAAACAGGTTGGCGATGGTAGTACACTGGTGAATCGGTGAGTATTTGCTAACTTTTACTTAGGGCTGCTTTGATGGCGTGGGACAATGAATACATTTCTCTATTCATCAGGAAAATAGCTAGTTCGTAGAGATAATTTGAACAAACTCAACAGAAGTAATGGTAAGTTTGGTCCACCCATTTTAATGGTAGATGAAGGGATGCCGTTGGAGTCCAACCTAAGAGAAGGTCTGATGGTTTTCATCAGCTGTTGAATATTAGTTAGGGAATGTTCGACAATATATCGGCTGTTGGTCGTGATGGATTGAGGACATTCAGGTATGGAATCAGATTCAAAAATGTTAGCTGCAGCAAAGAAGGAAATAGAAGCCTCACAACTGGCAAGTGGGTCACTAAAGACAGTGCCATGTTTCTCCAAGAGTCTTGTGAAAGAAAAGAGCTGTTGTTGGTTCTATAACGAGAATCGCGACGTGTTTCTTTGTTTTGCAACCTTTTTGTACGGCCTTTCCTTTGTTTTGTGTCGCATCGCTTGTAAATGTTTGATCCTAATGGTCCATTCGTGCACTTTTAATATTGTTGCACAATCTCCGGTCTTGTGAAATCCTGCTGGTAATTTTCGCCTTTTGAATGAGTAAGGGTGCTTTTGTAATCTAAGAGCCGTAAGCAACACGTTTACTTTGTAAAGATGGGTTATGGCGTGGTGAATATTAATATAGAATCGTGCTACTCTTAGGCAAATATTAGTAGATAGGAAAAATGTATTCCAGTAGGAAGATCGGATCAAATGTTGGAGGTGTATCTAACAAATTCCATGTTTTAGGAACAGGTCCAGGCTGACGTTTGATCCTATGTGGAAAATGGATTGTAATATTTTATGGTCACTACCTGAGGGATAATCCAGTAGACAGATGTTTTTGTCGATGATTCCTAATTTAAGTATTAACTCAAGTACGTTAGTTGACATATTAGGTTCTGTAAACCATTGGGTCCATTTTCCAGCCACAATAGTTGACAGGAAATCTGTACGTTTTGACGAAGTGGAATTTGGGGACCGAGATATTTTCTGGAAATTGTAGCCTCTATTATTTTTATTTATACTGTAGCACTGATGCAAGATGTAATGCAGAGCAGATAGCGAAGACATAACCAGTTGGGGCATTCGGATTGTTGTAGATGCATCCGAGAAGTATGTGATGGGATTGCTAGTAATCAGTAACTGCAGGGATTCCGGGATTTTTTGGCTCAGGATGCTCAATAGGCACCGCTATGAATGTCCGATGCAGATATTTAATACATCCGACCCGATGATTTGTGCAGAGATCTTTACCTAATAGTTGGTAGTTGGAGGTTGTTAGAGATTGAATCCAACGTATTAGTAGAGCATCATGCTTCAATGACGAAGATTGCACTTGGAATTCCCAAGTGTGAAAATGTGTTTAGGAAGTGTGGTTTGTTCTTAATAGGGCTCGCATTGATCAGCAGTAGAGAAAACGGTAGGTGTGCTTTGGGTCGTTGAGATCATTAGGCAAGGTTGAGAATTGAGGGGCACAAAGTTGTGATATAGGACGTGAATTTAGTGATGAAGGGGCAGATGCGGTCTTTACTGTATTTAGACAAACGGATGTGTTTTCCGCCGGGATTATTGGTTTTGCTGGTTGAAAAGGGAAGGTTGATATCTAAAGGCTTGGATGTTCCTGCTTTGGTGATAGGTCATTCAAGTCATGTGCGCAAACTGCAGGAAGAGTGGAAATAGACTGTTTACTTCGGTTTGACCCATTAGTGATGGGAGTGGTTGTGGTACTGGCAACAGTAGTAGTAGTAGTAGTAGTAGTAGTAGTAGTAGTAGTAGTAGTAGTAGTAGTAGTAGTAGTAGTAGTAGCAGTAGCAGTAGCAGTAGCAGTAGTAGTAGTAGTAGCAGTAGTAGTAGTAGTAGCAGTAGCAGTAGCAGTAGTAGTAGTAGTAGTAGGTAGTAGTAGTAGTAGTAGTAGTAGTAGTGGTTATTGTTGTTGTTGTTGTTGTTGTTGTTGTTGTTGTTGTTGTTGTTGCAGTCTCTTGAATAGCCATGAAGCCAAACAAAACCATGGAAATCACCGGAAGAAGACAGGTTTAATCACCGCATTACCATCAAGACACATTAGCTGAATGCGAGCAATACACTTCAGCTATTGTGTTGTAATATAAAAACAGGAAACATTTTTGTTATTTTGCACAAGCCGGTTTTTTCCCCTTTTTTCCTGTCCAATTCTTAAGCATTGAGCACCTAGATCTAAACAATTATGTAC